GATGGAAACCAAGGGATTTCCATTTCCTTTCCCGTCGTTTGACGGTTTGACCGGCGCCAAGACAGAGTGCGCTGCACAGTGGAGCCCGGGCCGCGCTGTGCGATGGTGGCGTCGATCGGTGTGGGTGCGGTGCGCAACCACGATTGCTGGTGCGCCCCGGCGTCCCGTCACAGTACCGGTGCGGCCACTGCGACGTCGTAGCTGCTGCATTTGCCGCGCGCGCACGGCACACGTCGTCCGTCGTGCGGCCGAGACATCTTTGGCTGCAGTGTCATGGGTCCGAGTTTGGCCACTGGAGGCCGTACGTGCGTGATCGTGAAATTCGACGAGAATTGGCAGCGAACCAGCGACGGACGCAGGAGATTTTTGGTACAAGCCACCGACAAGTTGTTTCATAAATAAAGGACACTGAAAGGTTGAAACTCCATAAAACAAAAGACAAAATACGACTAATTCCCTAATAAAGATCTAACATCACACAAAATGAAGTAAAATTAAAAGTTAACCCGGAGCCTTTTGGAAATGAGAGAAGTAGAAATAGCGAGTAGCCCACGCAAATTGCACGACTAGCAATGCTGTTTTAACCCTGGTACAATTTAACATATACTCCTTCAGTCCCTTTTATACTGTTGTTTTCACTTCCTAAGAAATCAAATATACTTAACTTTGACTAAATAAATACAAGAAAATATTAATTTTTACAGTATATAAATAGTATCATTAGATAGATTATTGAATCTATTTTCATAATAAACTTACTTGAAGGTACAAATATTACTAGTATTTTCTACAAACCTAGTATGAGTACTTAAAAGGGCCGGGCACCTCAAAGTCATATTATTGAATTTATTACTTCATCAATGTTTTTATCAAACTATGCCTTGCTCCATGAGTGATTTGCAAGCTATGCCTCTTCCATTTTATAGACGCCACAAACCTGATTTTTGTCGCAGCTATATATCATTTTGTTGTGCCATTGAATTTTATTTGTCATGTTAGTGATTGATGGCTTATTGGCATTTCTGTCATTGCCAGATGTTATTGTTACCTATGTGAATTATATTTTTTTTGCCCAACTAATGTTGTGGCCTCCAGCTACAGGCTCAAGCCTAATATGATAATGCAACACATGTCTTCCTTCCGTTTGATTGTGGTTTCATTATTGATGTCCACCAAAATACGTCAAATGGTTATATTTTTGTTTCGTTGCATCCCCACTATGCTACGTTGGTATAATCTAATGTCAGTTAGCACTTGACACCACTATGCTACTTAGCATAATAAATAAGTTTCTAAGGTTTAAAATTTGTCCAAAATAATTTGACATTCTACAAGAATATGGGACATTGTCTCATAATGTGGAAACTAATCATGGGTGCATGCAGATGATAGTTGCCAAATCAAAGTGATATCCTCCAGGAAAGAAAAGAAGATGAGGAGACATGCTTTCTTTTGCCAACGTCCTTAATTTGTCTAAACATTTCAAAAAAGTTAATTATTTTGACTTTTTGAGACGGAGGGAGTAAGTGTCAACCCATTTTAACCTCACATGTGAGGCATCCCTTCCCCTGTCAGAGAGGACAGTAGACTTCACTACGAACACTTTTTTTTCCACAATACAGATAGATCAATATTTTCTTAAATTTGGATTTTATCTCCTTTGGGTTGTTTACTATGTTTTCATGTTCTTTAAACTCTTGTATTGAAGTATGTTTGTATTTTATCATTTAAATTTTAACCTTAAATGTAAATGTACGTGTGCGGTTGGCGCTTCAAGCGTCTCCTTTCTCTTTTTTTATGGGCTTCATGTTTTCTTAATATAATGGCATGATTGTGTAATAGCGGAACAGATATAAGGATATTTTGGGCTTTTTTTTTTACTTAATGGTAGCAGTGAGTAGTTTATCTATGTCTATGGGCCGCCACTTTGATTTCATTTTGTTCAAGTAATGTCGTAATTTCTAAGCTTTGAGATCAACATGGAGACTCCTGTTGACCAAATTCTAAGATAATGGATTATTCGAATATCGATGATCTCTCATTTTATTCATTGTTAAGTAGTTCTTTTCAAAATTTATCACCGAAAGAATCACCCAATACGTGCTAAGGTTGCAACGGTTGCCAGTAAAGTATCACTGATTTAAGCTTTTCTTTTTTAGGGGAACACTCAGAGATACTCTACTGGCAACAGTATTGGAGATTGGACTAACAGAGTCAGTAGGGCACGGAACTTTTGAGGCGAGGGATGTCCTCCGGTCCGGTCCTGCCTTTCCGTGCACGGATCTTTCGCTCGCTGGCAGCGTGGCCTCCTCCCCGGCTGCCGTTTGGCATGCATGACAGTTCTCCACGCTGGCGATCAACTTGGCCTTCTCCGCCCGCCGCCTGTGCAATGTCCACTCCACTATCTGAGGGCTCCACGAGCGGACGAGTTGGGTGCCGCAACACCGCGGCAAATCGTTGAAAATAGCGACAGAAGCTAATACCGAGAGAACCGGATGACGAGTCGGAACTCAGAGGAATGCTGCTTCTGCGTGCATCTCTGGGCCAATTGCCAACAAGAGGGAGCACCTGTGCAGTCCAGCCCATCATAGAGGGTGAGAGGGACTACGGAGAGGCTTGGACTGGGCACTTGTGCAGCTACACATATTTGGGCTCAAATATGTATAATCTAGCCCAGTAACGAGTATGCACATATTCCTTCCTTAGGGGGAAAAAATGTAATTCTTGCCCTTCCGTAAAAAAATGTAATTATTGGTTTTTAGGAATCAAACAATTTTAATTAAGTTTGATCAAATCAAATCAAATCAATAAAAATAGTAATATTTATGATACAAAACAAGTACTATTAGATTAATCATATAATATATTTTCAGATTAAACACAGTAAGACATAAATGTGATACTATTTTCTATAAACTTGAATAACTTAAAAATGACTTGGTTCAAATCTAGAATTATATTCTTTTTGTGATGAAGACGGTACGCTTATGCACCTTAACTGCAATTTTTTGGGTACAAATCATTTGGTGTACATCTATACACCCATTGCCATATAATGTATACACCCTTGCAGCGGGCAGATGGGTGGTGGTGAGAACCGCCAAGCACCGCAGCAGAGAGACAAACGTGTACTAGCTACTCCGTCCCTCTATTTCAAATTATAAGACAGTTCTGGTTTTCTACAAACATAGAGTTTGTCATTCACTTAGATATATACTATTATATCAAGATATATAGTAAAAACATATATATATATATATATATATATATATATATATATATATATATATATATATATATATATATATAAAGTCAAAATGTCTTATACTTTGGAACTACGTGTGATCCATTTACTCGATGAACCTATAACATGGGGTATTGGGGTGTGCTCGGGCATAAGAAGGATGAAGCAAACAGACTGCGAGACCTAAGAAGGACATCAACTTGTTGGTGAATTCATTCTAACCGTATGCAGCTTGTCGTAATGTCCTACAACTCTACAAGATCCGTTCGTGAGATCCTGCAAAACATGAACAAAAAAAAACACGGGAGGCGGAATCTTTTCCAAGACAGCTACCAGTTACCAGCGCCACCACATAACCTACTTAGGTCTTATTTGGATGCGCATGTATTCATCTTAATCCACATGTGTTGAAATAGAATTAAATTAAGTTCTATTTTAATCCACTCCAACACGTGTGGATTGAAGTGGATACACATGCAACCAAACAAGGCATTAGCAAATGAAATGCAGCTGAGGAAATGGCAGGATAGCGCAGGCACGCAGCATATGGCCGGCAAACGGTCTAGGTGACCACAAAACCGCTGCCCTACTATACTCATGATCATGATGTGGGCCTGTGGGGCGTCGGTGCTTGAGAGCCTGGGCTCCAAACCTCAAATGGCTCTGATTGCCAATCTCTCGAGCGCACCATGGCACCAGTTACCTCTTTGGGTGGTCAAAGCGTAGCAGGGGAGTGCTGCCTCTGCTGCGTACAGACTGGATCGCAGGTACGGGGATGGATCTTGCCGGCCGAGTGCGACCAAGGCCAGAAAGGTGCTTCTTGTCCCCCTCCATCCGCCGCCAAGATCCGTCAGAAAGGCCGGAGAAACTTTACGGTTCAGAATGCGATGGCACTCGCCCTCGCCAGGGAAGCGCGCGACTCACTCGTCCTGTGCCTGTGGCGAGGGATCAACAGAAGTCTCCGGCTTCCCAGAGGCGAGTAGAGAGGGCAGCGTGGTTTTGATCCAATCTTGAACTCATGGGCTTTGGGCTGGACGAGGAAGTGGGTTGCCTGCGTCGAAGGCTACCGGGCCCAGCCTGGCATTTTGCTCGTGGCTAAATTCAAAATCCCAAGCCAAAATCCGACCGACCGGCACGATAATGAGTTTCTCTTGCGAAATGCAGCGTCTTTCAAGCAAACATCATGCACATGGCATCTTCTGTTAAATAAAAGAAATATTGCTCAAAATTGCTTGGCAAACAACTAGCTGTATTAAGTTACCGGAGACATGCTTCAACCCGGGAAGCTGCAAGGACAGACAAATGCCCTGTTTGTTTTGGTTGATTAGCCATGACTAAAAGTACTGTTGATGATTTGTTGTGAGAGAAAAATATTATTCGTTAGCTGAAAAAGTACGGTTTATAAGCCAAACGAACCAGGCGAAGAATAACAAGATGCACATGCACCGAGTTGGACACACTTTTTTTTTGTACAACAGTACACGAATCAACGAACAGTCAAACTTACGGCCTGAGATAAGAGCAGTTCTCTATACAAACAGTTCGGCATTTTGGCGGCAAATTCTACGTCAAGTCACGGTAGAGTTCAAAATCAAAACCTAGGAAGGCAACCACTCCTTCACTACAGATTATGCGTCGACAGGGCAGAGACGGAACCAGATCAAAACGACACCGACGAAGCAGAGTTGCAGCACCTCCGCGTTGCTCGCAGGGGCAGAGCTCAGAAGCCCGGCAGGTGCGCGCGTGGTGGCGCTGGCTACATGTCCTGCACTAATCTGGATGGCGTGCTCGCGGTGGTCGTGTTGCCCCCGTAGCAGCTGCTGTCGCATGACCCCGCCGCCGGATTCCCCGGTGTCCTCGCCTTCTCCAAGGGGCTGCCGTTGCCCGGCCGAAGAGTCCGACGATCCTGCAGGAGGATGTAAACACTAAAGACGGGGACCGAAACAAACAGGTCTCTGAAACTTCTGTTGATGGAAAGTATACAAACAGTACGTAAAGCATCTCTGCATCTGACCAACAATAGTTTAGGGGCCTATGGGTGGCAATAAAACATGGCCCGGATGGTGATATTGTTTTCTTTGGGATAGTTATTCGTTGATGACAGATTAGTTAACATCAAAACGGGCAGTTCAGGCACTGTCCGGACAAGTATTTTACACTTGGTCAGTGGTCAGACAAAGAGCTAAGTAATCAGAGCAACATTGTGCTATTTTAATCCTGATGCGCCTGCTGTCCATGTTTCTTAAAACCCGGATGCAGAAGGTATCACCATTTTAATATTGACAGGCATGAGTGAGGCATTCATGTAGTACAGGGTAATCGGCACATTATTTTAACCGGCAATTGCGCGGGTTTCACCATATGTAACTCGGGATCGAGTTCAGCATGCATAGAGTATGTTCTTGAGAGCGAATGAGTAGCATGATTGACTTCATATATATACGGTGAAAGAAGCAACTAGCAATAGGGCTCACCTCTCGATACGGGAAGTCGTCGACTTCAAGCATATGGATTACATGTCCCATCTTGGGCCGTTTCTGCGAATCAGGATCCACGCACCTCAGTGCGACCAAGAGAGCCTTCTTCAGCGCCTTGGAGGAAGGCTTCTCCGGCAGCTTCGGGTCGAGGATGGCCTCGTAGTCCCGGTTGGTCACCTTGTTCTTGAGCCATTCTACAAGGTTTACCTGTAACAGTACAGAAAAATCAGGAACTCAGGCAAATTCAGAAGCACATTTCGCATTGCAAAGCATAGCATGATCTCGTTGCTTCATTGAATCACAGACACCACACTGACCTCTCCGGCAGGTCTGGCATAGTCGACGGGGCTTCGACCGGAGATTATCTCCATTATCAGGATCCCGAAGCTGTACACGTCGCTCCTCTCATTCAGCATACCGGTGCTAGCGTACTCTGGTGCCACATAGCTTTGAAAAACAGAAGCATTTTGAGAATTCACATCAGTCATTTCACCCGGAAGAAGAAGATCAAACATGATTCATCATCAGGGACCTAAAGCCGCCCCGGCTCACCCAAATGTTCCCATCACTCTGGTGGTGACGTAGTTGCTGTCTGACCCCAGGAGCTTGGCGAGGCCGAAATCCGAGACCTTAGGGTTCCACCTCCTGTCCAGCAGGATGTTGCTGGACATGTCCCTGTGCACCACCTTCGGCTCCAGCATAAGTGACATTCTCTGATAAAAACATATAGATGAGAAATAAATATAGAGTCATCGAGTCCACCGGTGGTTAGTCACCATCTTCAGCAGGCCGAGAACTTCACCTGCAACATGGTGGGATAAACCCTGAGTACTCGAATGTACTCAGGTAGGGATGGCAACGGGGCGGATTCGGATCGGGTGGAGTCTCTGTGCACTCGAACCCGAAACCCGAAACCGAAACCCAAAACCGCATCGAACACCGATTCGGGTGATAATCCGTCCCCAAAACCGAACCCGTGGATACCCGAAACCCGCTTTGTATGGCAACATAGTAAGAGAAATAAGGACTTTCTATAAACATATGCATAATATATATACACATATTCATATGTATAAACAAGAGGCAACAAATAATAAATATTTTCATGAGTCAACTTAGAATAAATTTAATAATATAAGTAAATAAGTTATTATTAGTATATTATAAAACATGAGTTTTAATTCCAAATGATTTATTTCGGATATCCATTGGATATCCACGGGTGGAAAACCAAACCCGAAACCGAACCCGAAAACCGTGGGTGAGAAATCATCCCCGAACCCGAACCCGCAAGACCCGAAACCCGTGGATATCCGATCCGAAATCGCCCCGTTGCCATCCTTGTACTCAGGTAAACTTACCCGTCATAAACCAGAAATAAAGTGACACCAAGAAGTATGCAAGGCTTTATAAGTGGAGCTAGTTTGACAACATTTTACATAAAAAGCCACTAATTCAGCTATACATTTTATAATTTGATCATCAAGTTAATTATAGATATTCATCTTTAGATTAACAACTAACCTGTGCCAAACATGTGGTATATCATTTAGTAGCATAACAATAGTAACTATAGCCGGTGTAATAATTTCATGTTCATCATAACCATAATATTCCATAATCTAGTTACTACGATGTTGGGACTAGCCAAGTTTCTCACTGTCCGGGAGAGACGGCGATTCGAATCGATTTCAATCAGCTGGGAATTTAGTTCTAACACAAACCTAGGTCTACCAGTCACGGTAGCCTTAGGTCACCTTTGGTACAACTCAGGTCCACATTTCGCGGGTTCGCCCAGCGCCGCACAATCAGGGACGACCAGCTACCAGGGCGATCAGGACTACCCTACCCTTAGGCTCACGTCTGGCTCCCCGCACATCCTTACTACCATCCAGAGTGTGCACTCTAACAGGATGGGGTCCGACCTGAGTTGAGCTACTCGGTTTCGCGGTCGGAACGAGTTATCCGGTCAGCTAAGTGAGAGGCATGCGTTCAATCTTGTCAGAAGCGCCAACAATGGTACGGTCCTTAATCGGCACAGACGGAATCACATGAGTCAACCTACACATAGACTCCGCCCGGCCTCTACTTACATTACCCTATGGTTCTGTTCCACGATAGCAAATATAGCCAACCGTGCTTCGGTATCCACCTATATCTCGCAGGTGACAGAAAATCACCTGACTTCTACCGGTCTGAGCATGGCTAAGCATATATTCGATCCTGGACCTATACAGGGTTAAAGGTATATTTTTGGACAAGGAAATTATATGCATCAAGTGGTTCCAATCAACTCTTATAACCTAATGCATCAAACATAAAGAACTCGAGTGATATTTATAAAAACATAGGAGACTTAAAATGCTTCGGGGCTTGCCTGGGATCTAATACTAGGTCAGTGTTTGTTAAATGACACTCGCTTGGCGAGCATCTCCCATCTCAGCACTTGCTTAGTCCTTCCGTCTTTTGGATTCACCAAACTCCATCTTCAGGTGCGGCTCCAACATCACATCCTTCACGTGGTGCATCTAGTGTACCTAGATGAGATGCAAGTGCATAAATATGAAGAATGGTAATATGAGATGCATCACATAATAGCATTCAAGGCAAACATAAGATCATGCAAGACAGAGACACCTAGAGTTATTTAACTAAATATCACACAACCTATTATACAGGGATAGCAAGCATATTAGGCATGACACACAAGTGAACTTAAGTTTAGATATTACACACATGCATCGATCAAGAACTAACCAACATGTTTAGCCAAAACAAGAGGAAGCTAAGACAATCACCCAGCATATGTATAGAAATCTGGACAACAACACAGCAGTCACTTGTTTTAACCATAACTAGAGATATAAGCATCCAACAAGGGTGACCCTAGACTTTATGTAAAGATAATGAAATTATATAAAACTTTGTTATTTATTCTAAAAGCTAATTCACAGGTTAACATGATCAAATATGCCAATATCTCAGGTCTGTACCGATAAGGATAGAAAACTGATATGAAATTCAAAAATGTATAACTAGAGTTCTACTCATCCAACAAGCATGGTCCTTAACTTTATAGAAAGCTTATTAAGTTATCTACAACTTTCTTATTATCATCTTTAGGTGATTCAATAGTTATTTAGCCTTGAACACACAAAGCAACAATTCTATCCAAAATATGGACTGAATCTGACAGGCAACTTCAGACAACAATAAGTTGAATTCTAGCTTTCACAACAAGGTGAGTCTAGACTTTTTAGAAATCTTAGCAAACCATGCACAGCTTTGTTATAAACACCACAAGCTAATTCCAAAGTTGACCAGGTGAAACATCACAAAGAAGACATCTCTGTCCAGACTAGGACAGAATCTATCACTCCACTTCATAAGCTCATAACTGAAGATTTAGACCACCAAAAGGACTAATCTTTAACAATTTGGAAATCTTATGAAAAGCACTACACTTCTTATTTTATCACCAATACATGATTCCTTGTTAAAATGAGCCAAATAATACAATCATTCATATCTGTCCAAAGGACATGCGAAAACCTTACAACAAATTTCTAAAATCTATAGCTCCTAAATTTTCATGCCTATGGTCATGAAAATTTAACATAAGCTATATTATGAAGTTACCTACAACTTTGGTATTCAGCATATTCACATAAAATATAATTTGCATCACGAAACTAATTGCACAACCAAAACTATACATGCAGCCATTTCAGCACGTAGGCGACAAGGTTCTTCATTTAGTTCTTTAACAAGGTAACATATGCATAAGTTAAACACATAGCTCACAACTACTACGAACCTAGTTAATTAGCATTGGTTCTAGGTAACATGAAACACCATAAACACTTTAAGCAAGAATTAAAGCAAGGATGAAGAACTTGTATAAGCAACATAATCACTAGTTGTTATATTAACATGAGAGCATACATATAAGTTATATTTGAAGCTTACCCACTACTTATCATAACTTAGCATCTTATATATCACTTAACAAGATCTATTAAAAGCATCACATGACTTAATTGCATGCATCTACTAGCAACCTTTCATTATCCAATTATATACTAAAACATATATATTAATTATAGGTGATGTGACAAACATCTCATTTGGAGCTGAGATTTTATGGATGAGAGATGTTATCAAAACATGACTACTGTATAAATATCACATGCTCAAGTTTTATATTTTAATTACTATGAAAAAGACAAATTGCTATTGCAAGAAAACATGCAAAAGCAAGATAAATATGAAATTCAATATTTTCTACAAATGCATGGACATATTATGTATCAACATGACATAACAACATCATACCAAGGTATTGGAACCATATTTTCTATTTTTACACCTACATAAAAATTATAACTTATTTAAAACCATTTATTAAGCAATAAACAAGTTAAATCAATAAATAAATCATACCGCATCCAATGATAATGAAATTTTTACCACAGCACACACATAGCATCAGTAGCATACCATAAAAATTTCACATCAATTAGAGTAACACAACTTTAGATATGAAAATAATAAGCAAAACAATCTAAAATTGCCTATTTAATAAGATTAAATCAAAACATGATAAAAACAGTACACAACTAGCATGTTTAATATTTTTCTTAGCTAGATCATGTTATCACAAGATTAACACAACTAGAATTACCATTATTGGACTTCTATAACTCAAGATATGCATCCAACAACTTAAAAGGATTTTTAAAAGCACTTTACAAGAATAAATAAAAACATCAGAAACTTTCTACTAATATATATCATATTATGACTCTACTGTGTATACCTACTCACAAGGATTCCAAAAAGTCATCATTTGCTATTTTATGATTTTTCTACAATTTGTTATGATTTTCCAAAGTTTCAGTCACAAAAGAAAAATAGATTTGCACCGAGGACCCTAACTTTTCACTAATACAAATTTCAGCAAATGGGTCCTTTTAGACACTATTCAAATGAGTCACAAACTTCGCAAATAGACCCTTCCCTTTCATCAAATTCTTGCACGAGGTCCCTAACGTGGTTTTGGAGCAAGGGACGCGCAGGAGCTCGTCGGAGGAGGTGCGTCGGCGACGGTGGAGTGGCGGCGGAGCACCAAGGGGCCTACGCGCTCTCGTGGGTAGCCGCGGCTCGCACCGCGGTGGCTCGACGTGGCCTGGCCGCGCGTGCTGGTGATGACAGTTGGGCGGGCACCGACGACAGCAGCGCACGGCGGTGGAGGTTGCCGGGAGGAGATGCGACGCGCACGGGGTGGCTCGAGGAACACGAAGGCGAGGTCGGTTGGGGCTGAGGAGGCTTGCAGGTGGAGGAACGACGATGGCCATGGAGCTTAGCGGGCAGCCATGGCGAGCACAAGAGAGAGAGCGAGGCACAGAGCAAGAATGAGAGGGGCGAGGGAGCGAGAGAGGGAGTAGAGGGCGTCGTTTTCCTTTTCTTGAGAACGGCAAGGTGGCGAGCTAGCGGCCATGCAAGCAGCGAGGACAAGTGAGGGCGCCACGCGGCCTGCAGCTAATCGGTCGAGCTCCAGTTCAAAATCAACTACGAAGATAGCAATACCACCTCAAAAATACACTAAAACCTCAATCTTCCTCCCTTCGTAACTCCTAATATGTTTAGTTTTGGCATAAGCGGTAGTAAT